CCCCTGATTGGTGCTTAGCCGAGACACTGGTCGGATTGCGCCTTGGTTGGTTGGTATTCGACACGACATCAACGAACAACAACACTGCATGAGTAGAGGGGATGTGTAGGACGATTTGGCGTGCAAACTATAGGGACAGCACTTGCGTACACGTCACGTCTGGTCAGCCCACAACATGTGTGGATATGTTACTATGTTTGGTAAGGTTAGTCTGTTGTCCATTCACGATGAACAGATCATGAGGACGTGGTCAAAATTCCGGATAGGTTCATGTTGGAAAGGCTCAGTCGAGTCACCAGCTTTGCACGAAAGCCTGTACCTACTAAAATCAACGGTTTGTTTTTGAAGGTACCTGCTACCTTTGTATGCATTCCCAGGGGTTCTTTCTCTAGTTGAGCTATTTTTAACGTGATAAAAACGCCAATAATGAGAAGGATAATACCGACGGGGTTCGGATCTGAAATGGACTTTACTGTCAACATAGATTGGAGGGGTAAACGACTAATCTGATCAAGATAGCAAAAAGTCATTACTGGTGATCAAGAGAGACGTCGTATCGGTGGTCTAGACACGGCAGAATTACAGGTATTCTACATCCATAGAGGAAATCGGTTCTGGTGGGATACTGATAGATCACGGGATCGACGAACTAGCGATACGCACCGAAAAGAAGGCTCTGATGCATATAGCCAGACTCTGAAATGCCCAACCTTGTCAATCATTGCGGAGATCGGATAGATGTTGTGATATGTCTGAACAGGAGGCAGATTTTGTTCTATCTTCTAAACCGGCCAAATTTTAGTCCTGATTTCCACCGGACTGAGATTCCTTGGAGGTGACTAGTCCGGCGAGTGTAAATGTGGTAAAAGTCTTTAATCCCAAAACTCAGTTCATGTCTGCTCTGGAGGAAGCACAGTCAAGATATAATCCAGCCATCCATCAAAAGCAGATGGAATTAATAAGAGTTTTGAAACGAAATGGAGCGAAAAATCAGCAGGATCTCCACTGACAAGACAGCGTGATGGAATAGACTTGTAATTTTGTCATGAGGTCTACCCATTCAACAACCAAACCATCTGCTGAATATTTACCAGGTGGTATGGTGAGACAATACCCCTGTTATCAGTACCCAATATTCTTAAGGCATGTGTTACGTTGCTTGTCTCTAGGCCTTAGAACGGAATTAACAAAACGCACTTAAAATCACCGCACACTTTGTACAACCACCTCGTGGCAAGTGTTCACAAAATACGGTGTTTTTAATTGTTACACCGCAGGAGGATTCCCAACTTTTCACGGAAGTGATTAGAAGTTTGTGCTGTGTGTGTGTGCGTGTGGAGGGGAGCGCTTAGGTGGGAAGGCGTGGTAGCTGAGGCAAATGAGCAACAACTAGACTTGCTAATGTCAGTTTTGCGCTTCGATTTGTCTGAGAGACTTACTGCGCCGAATAAACCCGAAGCGTGGATGATCGAAATAGAGTAAAAGTATTTCTCACTAGACCTCTGACTCTTCGATCACTGCCATAGTATACAACAGGAAGCTAATTAAACATATAACTTCCCTAGAGTTCTGGAAAACCAAGCTGATGATCTCTGAAGCCACGTTCTGATGAGGCAGTTCACCCTCCCAAGTGGAGAACAAGTTGGACCCAGTTCAGTGGTTTTACGTCTTCGAAACATCCATTGTTCTGAGGTTCCTTCTTGAAAAAAGCTTTTATACGTGGCCGATACAGGGATCAGTTTCAAACTCTCTTGCGGATTTCCCCAAATATTTCGCACATTACTGTGACGATGAAATTGCAACTGTCGATTACTAATGACCGTTTATTTCTTGAGAGTGCAATAGCACAATGACACTGAAAAGACCACATAGTGACTAGAAGGACGTGAACAAATTTTGAGCAGTTCGAACAAGTTTATCTGCCCTCAATTGTCCTATTTGAGTCATTTAACCGGTGAACAGTAGGCGACCCCATATGCCAATGTACGGTTGCAAAATGACCTGTGAAAACGGACTGATTTAGCAGTCAACGTCCTACAGAGTACATTAAACGAATAAACACTCCAATCAATAATCAACTGGAATCACTGTGAAAAACACAATCTACTGACCTACGGATAAACATGAACGATTACAGACGTAGTCCAACCTTTTGACAGCAATGGAACCATCGTGTAAATTTTTGCCCTAGCTAGTGGGATAAATGATATATAAAAGTATAAAACTTCTGCTAGTAAGGGTTCCAGTGCTTCCTGGCTGAACACATTTGGTGATAATGATATATATATATATATATATATATATATACGGTGCAAATAATCATGAATACCTTGAATGGTCTCCTGGAAGCACAGGTAGCTGATCGATGACTTTGGTTCTAAAGTCACAGCACCTAAATGGACATCATTTTTTTGTAACATGGGGATCCTAAAAGCCCCAAAGAAAGGACAAAGGAGAGACAAGCTACCAATGAAGGATGAAGATGAACATGAGCATTGATGCTTGTACCATCACATCATATCACAATAAACTATTTTGTTTCCGTTTTTTCGAAAGTTCTATTCTATTTAAAGGGAAAGATCTCAAAAACATGGAAGGTTTCAGTGGTTTTGGTTGTTAGTACGGTGGCTGTTGATCTGTTCGGCAAGCTTGGCTTGCAAAGAGGTTTCGTATTCAAACGAGGAGACATCAACAGTGAGCAGTTAGATGGTAATACCTTCATTGGTTACACCACAAGGTAGACGAATCTCTTTACTCATCAAAAAACCTAAATTTAAGCATATTTGTACCCATTTGTCCATAGTTGCTCCCGTTTTTTCCAGCAAAGTGGTTAGTCTGTAGATGTGCCTCCCTTGCTGTATCCTCTCTTTGGAAGTAAACTGGTCATCCGAGGGACTGCTGAGTCCCTCATTTTTGGTTCTGGCTTGTATTTTTTTTACATTGAGGGAGTCGCAACGAAGAAAATTCCCTGACAGAAAATTACTTTCGCATTGTAAGATTTTCCCTTTGTGGAGTCTCCTGTGGGCAGCCAGCACTCCGTCAACGTGGTGAGGTGATCCCTGGAGAAGCATGATCTCGGTTCCTCACAGTAAACCCTTGAAGAACTTGACTTGACAGTTAAATGAAGAATAGTAATCTACAGTACAGCATCGCTCAACTGTCCAAGACCGGACAAAACAGGAAATGAAAGGTGGAGAATCCTCTGAACAAAAGTCCACTGATCTACAAAGGGAAAAGACCAAAAGTTTTTCAATAATTAGTCCTACCAGGTGTTGGTACTTGGGGGATTTAGTAGAATACATACTCACATGGCTCCCGTTTTAGACAATCGTCCTTCTATCCTAGCACAATCATTCTGGACTCGAGTTTCGACATTACTAGAGCTCATCATCAGTGCATATCCAATGACAGTGCCAGAGTTTGAACTCCGTCCACCTGACATGCGAGGCGAGCATGTTCCACTATTCCACCACCGCACGCTGGACTCATTCGAATTTTGACGTCTGAAAAGGTGAAAATGCTCGCGTTCGAGTGATATGAGCGGAACGCCCGACTCCTCGGTTGACGACACACCTTGCTTGTGTCGATCGATTGGCTCGCCAGTTGGGGCTTCCAGTCCCGATAGTCCCAAAGACGCTTGAAACCTGCTGGACACATTTTGTTTCAGGTGTTGATGGTTCATCTCTTCAGACGTGAAAAATTCGGATTAGTCCAGAGTGCGCTAGTGTAGGATTGGTACGACGCTCGCCTCGCATTTTAGATGTGCTGAGTTCAAACTCGACACGGTCATTGGATGTGCGAATAAGTGGTATTTTCACCGTAATGCTTCGTTCCTGTAGTCACTTTTGAAATTAGTCACAGAACGGCAAAAATATTCGGATAATTTCATTTGTCAGTTGTAGGTCGATCTCTTGTTTTACACGTTGGCGTGAAAATTCACGAAACCCTCTGTCCTGGTCGTAATTTCGTGAACCGCATTTGGCTGGAACATGTGTGATGTGGTCATAACGATAAAATCGTCTGGTGGAGAACTCGTCAACTGTCTACAAAGATCAACCAGTGGGTGCATACGAATGTCAAACCAAGCAGAGGGATGTAAAAGATATGGATCAAGTGTCCCCAGTTAGGACCACAATGCTCTTTCGATTAGGTTCTGTGACTGCTTATGATTAGATTTGCAACTACCCACTGAAAAAATTTTATACGTGACAGTCGTGTTCGAGGTCAATTCATGGCCCCATCACAAATTCCTCACGCCTTGGTGCCATCCTTAAAAAACTGCTCCTACCAAATGGAGCCATGTGAACAAGTGGCTCCCAGCAAAAGTTGGAGGTCCCGCTGAAATTCAGTACCTTTGGGCCATTTTGGATATCACCGGTAGAGTAGATTGCAGCAAATAAGATGTCACTTATCCGTTAGGAATCTCTCACCTTTATATTTTTTTCTGATTGGTCACTCCTTAGAAGGTACCACCAACAAAGGACTCTTTTCGTTCCACGCAACGAATGTATTTCGAAGAACAGAGGGACAGAGAGCCTTACTAAACAAGAAGTATATAGGACAAAGTCCGAAAACCGAGAGTCTAGGCAAAACTTCAAAACAACATGGCCATAGCTTTGTGATAGTAAAAACAGCCCTGAGAGTGCTGAAAGAGTGGGAACAAGTTTGAGATTATTCCACCTAGGTTATGAACAATCAGTAGTGCGTAATTCACGAACCACTGGAGAATTTCCGAGTGGAGACCTTCCGGTAGGGAGTGTGAATATTTTCTCAGTAACCTACGATTGCTTTTATGATTAATGTGCACTTTGAAGTTGCGTGTCATTCATTCAACGTGTTCCATGTCACATGGCCTGATGGTGATCAGCTCCTCATGTAACGAGTTCTCACAGCAAGAATTGTGAGGCGTCAGGACCAGAAAACTGAGTGTTTTTATTTCCATAATCGAGTGTCATTTTAAAAACAACAATGAATTTCAAGCTCGGTCACAATTTTTGGATACAAGGGAGCGTGTTTTTTATCGGATAATATCGAGGCTCAGATCAGCTTGACTTTCCGGTTCGCATAACTTGAAGGCTTCAAATTTCCAGGTGCTTCTTTCATTCCCGAATACCTCTCACCTGGTGGTTTTTGCGTTTCCGCAAATCGAGCATGGCCTAGAAAAGTGAAAGAAGAGCTATAAGTTTGGAATCTCCAAAATTTTGCACGTCTCAAACAGGAAGTAACCTTCTGTTGCGAATATAATGCTTTCCACCAGGTTTATCAGGAAGTCCTGAGTAAGTAGCATGCCGAAGTAGGGTTACCTAAGTGCCAAACCCCAGATACTATTGTTCATAACGGTTGTTTATGTAGGCATTCCGCATATCGCATAACTCCAACCTCATCTCAAAAGCCTATTCAGTTTCTAATTACAACTGGATTTCTAAACTACACGTTAGTCTTTTTTCTGCACTTATTTTACACACGGGTGTTTTCTCGTTTCACATTTCCTGCACGATTCCCTTAGATGACAAGAATGATTTCCTTTCTTCAGTTCTATTGCTTTTTACCCATGTCTGCTTCTATTCCCAGACAAACAGTTCGTCTACCACAAACGCAAAACTACATGGCGAACAAGTGGGATTGACGAAATTCCGTCTCTGCTGAGAAGGCACTCTACTAAATCGGCCCATGGTTCAAGCTGAGTGTGCGATTTTTCAGAGTAAATGCCTAGAGTAGTCTGTCTGAGTCTAGCACGCTAAAGAACGATATTCTTACTTACAGATCTATTTATTCAACCCAGTTTAGGTACCATTTCACTCGATTGCAAAACCACCGTGAATGTGCTGAAAAGCCTTGAAACACTGTACAGATGTCTAATCCCTAGCAGCGTCTAAATGTTGCTAGTTCAGGTGATTCAATTGGATACTGATCAGGTGACAGTTGTTCTTTTCGCCGAGCTTGGCAACTGCCGGGCAAACATTTCGTCAACATTCGTGGTGAGATCACCAGTGCGTGCACTGCTAGCCAAGAGGTCCAAGGTTTGATATTCACACTGCTGACGACCTCTAATAAGGAGTGCAGTGCTTCTCGGCTTTCCAGCAGAGACTGTGTTCACTGACGGGATGGAACATCCAGTAGTACCATATCTCCAAGTGCTTGGGTAAAACGTGTCGCACCACTGTTTCACAAATCGTTTCTGCGGGGTCACTATAAAAAGCAACATTTGAGATTTTGGCGGGCAGCTATCAGTAACTCCACTAGTCTGTGCTCACGTCCGAAGTTACCATTCAGTTTGTATGAGTGTCAGGGAAAGAGTTAATCTGATTCTTGGAGGACCACAACTGTCATCAGATAGGCGGAAGTACAGAATTTTAGTCAAACTTTCCTCTTGGTTATGGTCATCAGCTGTCAGATGTTACAGCAGATGAAGATGATATATTATGGAGTTAAGATGTTTCAGGAAGTGGGATCAAAGTTCGGGACCTCAAGAGGAAAATAAACGCACAATCATGGAACTCGTAGGAGTAACACGAAGCTGTGTGCTTACTTGATAGAATCAATCACCCGAAGAAATGAAAACAATGTGAAATATGGCACGTTTATGAACGTCTTGTATAGTGTGACTTTCGGAGACCCTTGATAATACATTTCCTTCCAGATCACACAGCCAACTTCACGAACCGGAACTGTAGTTTGCAGTACCTTGAGTGAATCCAGGGTGGATCATTTTTGTCGGCATATCGATCCATGCCTATCCATTATTTTGAAATACATAATCGAAAGCCTCAAAATCCACCCTTTCCTCAGGAATTTATTTTACTCAACGGCTTGTCAAGTGAGAAGAGTGAATTCTGATGACTTCACTGGCTGTTGCTCGACTTGGTACCAGAAGTCGCTCCATTTCGTTACCTTCTGCGGCACGACAGAATATGTGACATGTCCGCATTACCGTCATTCACGTTTTTGTTTCATGTACAGCATGGTCCATGCAAATTATGGGTTCCTGTTATCAGGGTGTCAGAAATGACATCCGCAAAGCCATAAGAGCCTGCAAACTTCTACTTCGATTTCTTGTTGGTAAATCGCGGGCCACTGGTTTTTGTGGTTAGTTCACATGCAAGCGAGTAATTCCCACTCCCTATTTATCGGACTCAAGCTAACCAAGTGTTGATCAAACCCACTGATGGCTAAACACACAGGCTAACTATTGTCGTGTACAACTTCATGATGTCATCCTTCACATCTAGTAATATCCCGAAAAAGCCAACCAGATTCGGTCATCGCAGGAGGAATAAGCTGGTCCTTGCCTATACCGCAAGTACAGTCACATGATCTCATCAAAAAAGGATTCTTAACAAGAAGTGGTATCCTAGCAACATAATTTTCGTTTCAGAACATAATCACATCAAATTGGCACCTCTACTGCATGGACCTAATTTTTCCCACTACAATTTCCCAAAAACCGGTAGTTTGATCGCCAAATATGAAACGCCTACTATATAAACAGCCCCAAATAGGTCCTGGGAACTCAGACATCCAGACTAGCTGCTGACCGTTTCAAATGTATCAGGAAAGCCAGATTCCCGAAAGCAACCACTGAAGGCCCAAAATCCACTGAGACTCTCAGCTCCGCCAGATGTTGACCAGGCAAACAACGCTCCCCTCAATATGCAGCGCTTCCCAGCCTTGTATCAAACCCAGGCAGCGAGAGTCAGCGTTTATCAAGGTCAGACAACGCCACCGCAATATGCAGCGCGTCGCAGCCTCGTACCAAGGCCAGACCCCGTGCGTCAATATTGGACCAAGTGCAGAGTGTCCCTCCAATAAATAGCGTGAGATCGTTGTGCTTTCGCACTCGCACGGACTCACGCTCTCCCACTCGATTTTTCGGAATATAGCTGTTCTGTTCCCTTCTGTGAGTCCTTTTATTCGGCATTAGGCATTGGAGTGGGTCAGCAGTTAGATATAGCAGATTGGCGAATCAGCAGATATAACAAAATGTTACACAAAAACTGGTCGATTTTTTAAAAATGACAATTCCACGGGCAGCTGAGTTAAAATAAACCAGCAGTTAATTGCGTGATGTGATGCACGGCCTACACTAGTCAGCGCTTGAAGTGGCATTAAAATCATGGTGAGCGGTTCGTGTAGTATCACTTGTTCTGTGGTTGTGGACAATGTGGGAAAACCACAACTTCTTAGCACTTAAATGGTACCGTAGGTACCGTTCATTGTTAACATCACTCATCCACATCGATCTACTTTGACAAAGAAATCCTCCTTGTATGCCCTTCTCACAGGATAATTCTCTTTTAGTTTGAATTCGTGCTTGGTTTGTTCTGGATATTTATCCAGAAAATTTCCGACTCTCCATCGGAGGCTCAGGGTAGCCTATTGTCCCGGGCATGTCACGTTACCCTATTTTCCGTGGCACCAATCAGGTAACCACAAAATCTTTTTGCGCTTTCGTATTGCTTGTCGCTCGAGGTTATCGTGGCTGCCCACCAATCTTGAGACACTTCATAACTCCGTTTAAGTGACACACATAGAACCGACAAACTCGATTACCATGAAAAGAATACTGCATTGTTTTCTCGTATTCCGGTCATAGTAAGCAGCTTCATGAAAGAAATCTAATCAACGAAAGGCTCGAAAACTACTAGTAAGCTATCCCAAAATGCACTCTGATTGAACCGGAATAGTGGACTCTGTGGCAAGTTTCACAATAAGGGGCTCGCTCCCGTATTATGGATTTTCCACCTATTTTTGCTAGTATTAAGTGACCATCTTTAAAAAAAATACCATAATTGCCAAATGAGCTATTCAGCTTCAAACACTGACACATTGTATTAATTTTCGCCTCGACGATGAGGAGCTTCCTTTCTGCACAACAAGGCATCCTGACATCGTAGCTTGTTGGATTGAGTACTTCGATGTGTGATCATGAGGTATCCGTTGATCATTGGTTTGAACCCAACGCACGATGTGCTACTGATCCCGCATAAATTTGTTGTAGCTCCTCGGCTGAGTATGGATAGAAAAGACTATGAAAAAAGTCCACTTCGTCATTTGGTATCCCCGAGTCGACGGATCACATAACAGCAGCGCTAAAGGATACACTTCCATCGTATAGCATTTATTTTGTAGCAAGATGATCCCCCTCCCACAGATCACCAGTTCAGTTATTCTAAAATATCGAAGGACACAGATAATGGTATGTATATTTTGGCCATCCACTAAAAGGTTCTTTCTCTGGTCCATGCAGACAGATGTTTTTCTTTCTTCTAGCTTGAGCTTTTGGTTTATTTTGGCTCATTAGCTGTTGTCTGTTTGACTCGTTTTAAAATCCATGAAGCTGACCGTTTTCATCGAACCCATTTGGCCGAACACTTGCGTCATTGGGCCAAACTGGACGCATGTGGATATTGTGTCCCGTACATCAACTGTGTGAGCGTGAACATGAAAAACGAAAGCGAAAAGGCTATTCTAATCCGGCTTAGGAAGGCGGTGATGAGATAAAGAGTCGTTCTGAAGGTCTGCACCAAGTACGCTCGAGGTTTCATTCAACAATGACCATAAATTATTCAAATAATATTGCCCTACCTAACTAAAGTCCAAATATCTACTCTTTAGAACACCGAATGACAGTACCAACCATGTAAGTGTATCTCTGCTCTAGGTACAGCGCGAAATATTGGATTTTCAGTTGTGTACTGATCATCTGAAAACACCATGTCTGTCGGTAGCTATATCATTGCTATGTGACGCCTAGTGCAAGGTGCCACATCACATACGTTGTCTCACACAAATGCACTTGTTTGCTATAACCAATGGAGCGACCGCACAGTGAACATCAACAATGCCGCGCATTTACCTAGTTCAAACGTGTCCGGCCATGGGTAGCTATGCTAAAAACCACAGTTAGATGAAATCAAGAAGTTCTTCGAGTTATTTGTTCCAAACGGAAATACACAATAAACCGAACAAATAAGAGCTGGCTGACAACCGATTAAACATATTGTGCATATGGGTGGCGCCCACTTACATTTATCCAGGTATCCGCGCACACCACCGCTATACAGCAGGCTGACGACAGCTCTAGGGTTACTCAGTTAAAACTGGAGTTCTCTCAGTCACGTGCAAAACAGATTTGGGGATGAGGCGTTGGTTTTTCTGATTAGTTTGATTGTTCATATCATTCATAAAGAGAGAGACTATGCTGAAAAGCTAATTACACACTACTCATAAGTTTGCTAAAAATTCCTAGACATCGCTCTTCTTCGAGCTCATTCGGAGGGTGCAGTCTTCAGGCCTCTGTCAAATTTATGTTCTGACTGAACCGATCATGGAATGTTGAAGAGCTTTCAGTAACCTTATGAGTAAAGTTCCTCATAGAAAATACACTGCGGTATCTCGAACATTGTCTCCCAATGTTAGCCCGAAGGTGACCGTCCTTTTTGCGGGTCGCCTACAGATTTACCGGTATTTATTCACGAGAGTTTCTCACAGTTGGATGAAACCCCGTGGAAGCCCTTGTTCCACCCCTCACACTGGATCTGGTTTCAACTCCACTCTCTTCGTCCAAAGAATGTGACCGATTTATTCATTCTCAAAGTAAATTCATTCCGGACCATCGTGCAGCTTCGTCTGAGGTTATGCCATCGGGTTCTCTAGCAACAGTTATAACGTTCACTTACTGTCAGTCTAAACAGACAGTCTGGTGTATGGTTTTGGATTTTTGCATTTTGATGAATGACTGTTTGTATTTTCCCCAGTTATGTCTGGGAAGGAGAGTTAGATAAAGCACTGTTTTAGAATTCACGCTGCCGACTACAAATCAATACATCGACCACACCTTTGACGCTAGCGTGTGCCAGTGGCACTCCCAGATATGCAAAATCCAAACGGAATGTCACGTGACCACTTTCCGTACGATCGACTGATGTGCCTAGATGTCAGAGGCAGGCCATGTTCGTCTTATAAAACTGGTAAGAAAAGGGACACAGCAACTACTGTTGGTCTGAAAATAACTGCATTTGCGTGAGTGAAATCAGAATGTCATTAAAAACCACTTCAACAGGGAAGGATTGGTAGGGGTTTTTATGATCCGGGACAACTATACTATCAAATCGACCCGGTAGCAAAATCGTCCAATTCACAATTCTGTGCCCAGTAAATAACATGAATACATTGAATAAACTGTCTTCTCGTAATTGGTGGGAACTGAAAGCCTTACCGCCCAACAATATCACAAGTGATACTTTATGAGCTACGTCGAACACCTGCTCTTGATTCTTATGCAGTGCTCCTGACCAGTTAATACAGTTTAACTCGTGGTTGAACAAACGCAGTCAGTCTTCAACCTAGAGTGCAAATTGACGCTCCTGACATTCGTTTGTCACAAGCGGGAATAGAGTGTTGATATCCAAATACACCCAACAAATCACTTACGACCAGAGAATTTTCCATGCTGAAATCGATTGATTGCATATTCCGGCTTTATATGTGAACTGGGTTTAGGAACGAGCGAGGGCAACTGGATTTTCTTTTGATATTCTGTGCATAAACAAGAGATGAGCAGTGGAGATGTGTGGCTTCAACAGAAAAGAAGTATTGTCGGGTGACCAGAAAGATAATGCGTTCACTTAATACAATCAATCGTCTTAGAACTAATGTTTTATCTCTCTCCCCCTCTAGAAAGGCCACCTCAAGAGACTAACTACAAGTGGCCCTCTCTCCTACGTAGTCAATTCTGAGGGAAAATCTACCACTAAGATATGCCACTATATATACCCTAAGATACCACTAAAAGCAAAGCGTCCTTCAGAACGACCTAATCATATCATATCGTAAAAATCCACGAGAGAAACGCATAGCAACCATACCTCAACCTGAATAAAATGTTACTCGGCAAGTAAGATGCTTTCGTCTTATCCGCTCAAATCACAGTCAGGTTGGAACATGATAAAATCGAACCGATTTAGGCTGCTTCGACGTTAGGGTTGAGGTGATCTGTGGGTCAGTCAAGTTGAGCAACCGGCACGCTGTCCAAGATGACTAACTCTGGTGACAGGAGGTCAATTCCTAGCCCATATTCTAAATACAGAACCTACGTTTGACAGTGGAAGCATTTTGTTCTTCTACGGAATGTCACCCAGCTAGTCAAGGCAACTCGACTATTTGTTGGCTTGACCACTGAGGTTATTTCACTAGGGAACTTTGGTGTAGTCCTCCATACCGGAGTCGTTCTGAATCTTTCGGCTGCGATTCAAACCCGCATCACTTTGAGCCACTTCGATTACCCGCTAAGTGGAATTTAACCCTACACTCTCGTTACCTTTGCTCCACTTTGTTTCTAACGACCAGAAAAACGAATGGCTGAAAACAGTAGGTTTTCCAAGCGTCTTTTTCGCCAATGTTACTAAGGAACAATGCGAAATGATATGACAACCCTACACTTCGTTTCACCTCGATTTTTATAGTCCGATACAGTTTATCTACAACATGAATTTTGACATAATAAGGCCAACTGGTTCGTAAACTAGCATTTGCAGACAAACCACACAAATTCACATATTCTAGGATACAGGATGGGGCAAGTTCTAAAGAAGATTTGGCCACTTATGAGCAACTGAACTTTAGGTCTTAGCCGCCTGTTTTCTTCTTAGAGAACCCGATAAGCTCAAAACGTGTTAGTGTGCTCAAAAATTTGCTTATGGAAGGCAGGGCTATTGTGGAAAAGGCTTTCTCGGTAGCTACGAGCACTTGACAGGTAAACATGAGCACGAGCGCAATAATCGAGTCCACCATATCCGTATCTCAGTGATAATACTGTGTGCAAATGGATTTCAAATTTTTCGTATTTGTCAAGCCCCATTTTGTTCTCTATCGGTCTACACCTATGCATTTCGGTATCCTACCGATATCAACGTATGGCCCAGTGTAGGATTCACGCATGGGGCTTGCTAAGGCGATTAGACACATCAGCTGTCAATCAGCCAAGGGAAGCACGGTGAAAATCTGAAGCTTGAGTACGTAAGACCAGCATAGATCGGGTATTTTCGGGAGCTCAGCATGTTTCCGTCAGGTGGAAGTTCGCCGGCTGGAGTCTTTTCATGGTGGATCGTTTCATGAGGCTCCACATTTTCAGAATCCCCAAAGTTCCTTCTATTCTGTATCGCATGTTATTGAGATACTAATTTGAATCGTGGAGCCACAAAGCGAAGGTGATGGGACGTAAGAGGACTCGGCCACCTGAAGTTCGGGTTCAATGATGGAGCTAGTGACCCCAAAACCAAGGGACCGCCGACCTCAATTGTACTCATGGTGTGTGAAAATGCAAAAGGTTTTCGCCTGACTCGTCAGTTACCTTGAAATCTGTTGGGAAACTGAGTGTCAGAGAAAGACCAAACGATAAATGGGAAACTCCATAAACAGAAAATGTGCGAACTAAGGACATCAACCAACAACTCCATCGATTATCTACTAAACTATTCTGAAACCATAAGGTAACTATTGTTCGAAAGATTCACAGTTACGTTAAGTCTGTTAATAGTTGACCAGGTGGCGGTTGATATGTTCACCGAGCTTGGCAGCAACCACGTTGTGGCAAGCCGGAAGCTAATCGCCAAGCCTCGCAAAACCATCAACAGCCACCTGATCAACTACCAGTGAATGTACCCGAGCTCTCCGTGTTCCGGTACAGCCATTTCCAGTTTACGAATTCACCACGGTTCTGAAGAGGTACTTGCAATTGCAGTTTTATGGTTAGTTGCTTCGCATGTAGCTTTTACAGAATCCTTCATTTGGCGAATAGCTAGTGCCCTCCATCTTATCAGAAGCACACTGCCCGAAAGGTTCTTAAACTCCATCGTCTCGTGTTTACGTGTCGTGTACGACAGCGAAACATCATTGTCAAGACTGATGTTGCTGTCTTTGATGATGATTACATTTCATGGTAGATACATGATGATTCCTTACTGTTTAAGGAAGTACCCATCTCTGATGCACACCGAACTAAATTTGGGTGTGAGTGTTCAAAGTTTTTCGGCGTGGCATCTTGAGAGATCTATTATGGCATGGGAGGAAAATTCTCCATGATATACGATGAAGGGATATTGTACAAAATCCACCAACAGACTACTACTGTTTTCGCCTGTTTGACACTCACAAGGTACAGGAAGCTCCCACATATTTGCATACTAAAATGTTTAGTCATTAGGCTGAGAGTACCCGACTAGAAAGATTACTAGGCCTCCATAAACATATACTGGTGACCAGAAGTGAATTCAAGCCGGTCTTCACTGAAAGAGGACTAGCAGCACCGCATGCAATTCGTTCCTTTCATATTCCAATCAAAACAACGTACGACTTGTGCTAAAACATATCTGAATTCTTTTTTCATAAAGGAAACTACTCACAAGGTTGCCACTCGACAGCCCACGACCGGTTTCGCCCTTCTTGGGGCTCATCAGGTAGGCGCACTCCCCGAGTTTCCGTCAACCTTATGTTCCACTTGAATATCTGGATTCTCACCACGACAGTCTAACATGAAAAATCCGTACAATGACAGGTGTACTTGGTCCTGTGGTAATAAGTGTCTTCTTCAATCCAAGGTACTTAATCGGGTCAGCTGAAGCTTTATGCAATCTGGGGAGTAATTTCGGTGTCTACCGTCTATGAGGATCATAAACATGCTGCTTCCAAGTAGTTAGATTTCCTTGGAAATTTCATTCCACGGAATAGGTGAGGGAAACATTCAGTCCTCAAGAGAGACATCTCCGAAGACAGATTCCTTCTCATAAGAGTTTACAGCAGCGTCTTTGTTAGCCTTTTTACGCTATAGTTGCTCGCCACCTCAGCTCAGCTCAGCTCAATAGGAGACCAAGTGACCATCTATGTTACTTGAGTTGTAAACATTGCCTTCAGTAGCAGATGATCCACTCGAAAAGAAACTGCCAGCCAGTTGGATCTGTTCCACATGCATTTGACGTTAGATGCAAGGTGAAAGCTGCCTCACGGAAAATGAACCCATTGACGTACCTGCGTGCCTTCCTTCGTATGTGTGCACAGCCGGAGGTCGGTAGGACTTTGACCGCATTTTGCTGGTTGGACGCAGTATTGGCAGGAGCGAACCGTGAAGTTTATTATAAACAGGTGGACTGTTCGGCTTCCTTGCGTCTAACTGACTGAAATGCAGAACACATGCCCGTATTGATTTTGAGCTAACTGTAGTAGCATGTTGTCTGCAAATCCATAGATTCCTGGAATTCGAAGAATGTGTTAAGCCTAAAAGACGGTTACATGCTTGCTTACAGTTTATTTTTCGTAAATGGTATGGGAAAATTTGGTGCGCCATGGTGCCTGGTAATGGTGTATGAATCCAACCCATCAGTTTCACTGGTAGGAGGAGCCTAGTGGAAACACAAACGACCTATCATTGAATGTGATGCGAGATATCGGTAACTCGTATGTAATCCTTTGTTGTCAATTGGTTTGTCGAACTTGACAACTGGTTACAGAACGTTCCACCACCATTCGAGGAAAGGTGTTTTTTATCGGATAACTACGCACCATTTGTAAATCAATCGTCGCAATCCGAAAGCAGTTGCCTGCTTGTGGTCGATTAGATCGGTATGTTCGACTAAACAACATTCACGAGAAGGACGTTTTTTCAACAGAAATTCAGCCTGAAGATGAAAACTTTAACTAAACCACCAGTTGCTAAGGCACATGTCAGGGTAGATACGGGGTAAACAGGAGTGGCCTTTCCGACACTCTCATATACCATGCACTCATTAATAAGAGTATTAGTTACATTACCGTAATCCCTCCAAAAAGGAAGTCCCAAGGAGGAAGTGTCTTAATCGCCTTCTTTCCGTTACAGCAGCAAAAAAACATACACCCTCTTCCACAGAGTCAGAACTCTGATCCACCAGGCGGATAGTTTACTCCTCGAAGGGTAAGGGGAGTGGAGACACTTTGTATGATTAAGTAACTTGCGCCACACCCGCGATGACTACTTGATTGACTCTGATTTGTCTTCTCTGACAAGGGCACACATGTTCGGCACACTCGATCCTGGGACAAGCTCCAAGCATCCCATGGGCTGTAGGTAATCGAGTTGAAACATAGAATGAAACAGTACACGATAACCCGATGGTCCTGGGTTTCTACTGGGTTTCATTCTTCCCCCGTTGTGATATTTGCCAGTTAATCTGTTCGGCACAAGACCTATCTTCTATGCGAGAATATCAACTACCCTGTCCTTTCACGCAATCACATACACACCCTTCAAGTAGCCTACTACTGAAGCATGAAAGCATGTCACATCGGTCACTGAGACACTATCTCCGTTCAGAAGACATTCTGGTGTCTCCAACAGTTTTTTTCTTTTAGTGGTATCGGACAATCATTCAGCTTCCAATTTGGCGTACTGCATACCTTTCCAAACGGGAACCGGAGAAATGCTTATCACGCAACCTGTGAAGTTCAAGTCACTGGTTGTAAAAATCGATTGAAATCCAGTAACTGACTAGTTGTGACCACCAGCTTTTCAAGTTCATTGGACACAGGTGCCTATTTTCTACTCAGTGGTATCTGTTACGCATTGACAAAGCTTGGAAGCAACCGTGAGAAATTCGCCTTGCTCCGAATTATCATCGCGTTTTCCACAGCTCATTGTGTAACCTACACAACTGGACTAGAACCTTCTGGGATAAAAATTTGGCGAATAGAGGGCCACCTCACTCCACTTTCAATCCGGATAGCGAGTAAAATTTTTCCCATAGTTTATACTTTATAACCCAGGAGGCTTACACTAATGCCGTCAACAACGAACAGTATCTCGAAGCTTTCACTTTGGAAACGGTTTGACCATTTTCAGGTCTTTTAACAAGGAAGACGAGACTGAGAAAAGTGGTTTTCAAAGAGCTGTGCTTGGGAAAAAACTTTTTTTTCGACAATGTGGATTAAACATTCACGAATTACTTGTGTTCAGTGAATGGTTTATTTTAAATTAGGTACAACTGCATTATCTTTTATGTGGGAGGCCTCTTTTAGGGCCACCTGTTAGTCTTCCTTCAAGGTCGTTTGACGATTGCTGTCAGTTGCAGTCTCGCGAAGTCGAGGTGGATAGGGGTGTTACTCAGGACATCACTCCAGTTTATTGATCTGCACGCATTTCTGAACAAAGAGCGGATTAAAATACTTTCCATCCTGAAAAATCAGCTGATTTGGGGTACATGGAAATGAGGACGATCTTTGTCATCATGAACACTTCGTTTCCCGATGTTTCCTCTGAATGGACCGTGGTTCAAACCCGATTGGTTTTTCAATTTCTTCCGTTCTTTCATCACTAAGATCGTCCCTTTCCAATAATTTTCCTCCTCATAACGTCCTCTCCGTTGGCGAACCACTTTGCATTTCAGAAAATCTTCAAGCTAGCAGCCAACATAATGTGGTCCCTTCTTTGGACCTCAAATTTGTGACCTGAAAAAGGTGTGCTCCTTGTGCGTACGTGCCCCTTTCAGATCGAGGAGGAAGCAATGAGGAAGCAATGACGTACTCAAAGATAGTATGGCCTGGTTATCGTATCACGTCATCAGTGAGCTCCTGGCATTTTGATTTCTGGAACTTGAAAGATCACTCGCTATTGCATTTCAACCCAGAATAATCTTGTTTTTGCTGAACATTCCAAGAACATGATTTAGGCTTTGAATTTCCGAGCCATCAGAGTCCAAGGTCACATTTGTTCGAGGAGCTGGAATATACGGTGTTTTTCCGCCCAGCTGTACTCTCCTTTTTTAAAAAAAGGGGTCACTCCAGAACGAACAGCCGACAGTCCCTTCTTGTTTGAAAATCCCAAAATCAAATCATTGTTGTTCCTAAACTCCGTTGCAAAACGTTTATGAACTCAAACTATCTATAAAGCTCTATGCAGATGAATATACCCAAGAGATATCGAATGCAAGCCCTGCTTGTTGCCCACCTTGGCACATCAGTCTTTATACGAAACGTGTGTCATGTGACAAACTATGTACGCATGATTGCTAATGAACAGTCTTTATGATCGGAAAAGTTGGTTACTTTACTCACTGTGTTGGTGAACGCATATTCGTTCCGATACTGTTTCTTTCGGTTGTCAAGCCATCTGTCACTTACTCTTCTACCGGGACTCACGCGATCGCAGTCACCACGCCATTCATCTGCCTTTGACCCTGTCGGTCATGGCGTTGGGTTACGTGACTACTTATCATACAGAACTGTACAGTAGAGATCATCATCACGTTGTGCCACACGCTGAGCGAAGCAGCTGCAGTATACAGGGATGACAGAGTGGAATTGTTAGTCGTTGTCACATACCCTCCACCCTGTGTTTTCATTCCCATTCTGGGGTTGGTTATGGTTTACATCCTAAACAACAGTAGCTTACATAAACCCGTAAACCTAGCCGTCGTCTTTTCTCTCCATTGTGGATATCAAATGAATTTAAAGTCGCGGAGAGGCACTAAAATACCAATGTGCACTTGGACAGGGGCATTTTGAAGTATCACAGTTGATCCCTCCGAAGAAAACTCCCTAAAGAATCGGCCTTTTCTGCAAGCTGTTTCCCTACGAGAGGGAGTTCACTTCTTAAACACGCTTAAAAGGACTGACTAAAATGGTCTGTTCTAAAAGGAGGACAGTCATATTGTGGTCACCAGAGGAAGTCAGAAAGTGAACACCTGATCGGTACAGATGTTACCCACGAAAAAATAACTTTAAGGGGCATTGGAATATCCTACTGACGAATTTTATTTGGAGGAGTGCACGTGCTCCGTCTCCAGTGACTGGCTACTGGAAGTTAGCTTGTATTGGGCTATTTCGACCAGTTGTATCAGAGAGCCGCACAGCTTTTACCCTGACGACATCTGACCATATTTAGCATCACTATATCTCTAGAAGTAGGTTCGGAAGTAAATTCCCAACGTTTTTGACCCTGTGCTTTAAGTTCACCCCACTTTTGGGTTCAGTACCTACATGTGATGTAGTTGTCCATTTCTTCGATCCACTTTGTTAATTTGACGTTGAAGATACCGAGTCAGACCTTGTGCTGACCTTGTGCACGTGTGACTACCTCATGCGCTCGAACCTGCTTTGCTCGGACTGTTTGCTTGTTTATAATCCACTCGTTGCGGATGAGTATCTAGCTCCCAGGCTTGCATATTTCTGCATCGATAGCACTGTATAAAAATTCATTCATGACTGTTTTTCCTACTTGCGTGTTAGTCGAAGACACCGCTTTCGTTTTAACGATCCGAGTGAGCCTTTTCATTAATCTTTGTCATACAAAGGTTTACTAATGAAAACCTAGCGACTGAACATAGAGATCGCACCCCAGTCAACTATCAAAACATCCATAATGATTGAGAACTCGGTAAATATGGAATTACTGCACATTGACTTTCCTCTATTCTTGGCGCAGTCTTCAATCTGTGTGAAAGGTTTATGACGCTTTCCAAAAACGGCTGCTGTTCTCATCACCTGATATGAACCATCATTTTAGTTCAGTTGGCTCAAATTGACGTCAGTCCACTAGTGTCTTAAGGCAGTACAGGAGCTTCGCTTGCAACAGCGGTCGTTCGGCGTGATAGCTGACTGTTAAACTTGTCATCACTTCTACTTCCACTTCGGGGTGAGGAAGCTGCTTCGGTAACCAGAAGAGTCCTTCAAGCTCCCTGACAGAGCCACCCTACTAAAGATGCTCCCTCGTGGACTACTTCACGAATAATTAACTCATGTATGGTTCCGTCGTACGGTACGTGGTATATGTAACTGACATATCGCACCTGCACTCCTGCGCGGTAATAGTCGCCAGTCATTTTTGTTTTCCGACGGGGATTTAATGACGTTACAAAGAACTCACGTCTAATGACTTCAATGAGATATCGACTAGTACGACCTTCTCTTAGAAAAAATTACCCTGAGTTCATAATGAACCTCTGTGCGAACAGTAAGGTCAGAACTCTAGAACAAAATAGAACGCATTCGCCCTCAGAACCAAATTTCCATCGATCGCTTGCCAATTCACTTTTCCTGATTTTTAGGAACTAGTAGAATACTAAACATTTGACAGCAACTGTCGAAGGGTTTTCAGCAACCTTATGGGTAGTGTTCAGTCAAGAAAGTATACCGCGATACTCCGCATATCGCACCAATTGAAACCTCTGTTCACCACAGTGAGTTGAAGAATAGCATACACAATAGATATAGTTAGGATTTAGTCGGATGCCCCGTTAAAACTATATTGGTGTGCAAATGAATATGGACCGCCAAGTTCAAGTAATTTGGGTTCAAGTAGAACATAAGGTTGACACGGAAACCCGGGGACTGCGCCTACCTGATGAGCCCCAAGAAGGGCAAAACAGGTCGTGGGCTGTCGATGGATTTTCAGCAACCTTATGAGTAGTACATTACAAATAATTTGGGTTCTGTTAGAACATGGGATTGACGGAAACTCTGGGATAGTGCCTACCTAATGAGCCTCCAACAAGGGCGAAAAAGGTTATGGGCTGTCAAAGCGTTTTCAAAAACCTTGTGAACAAGGTGTCTTCAAGAAAACAAGCAGCACACTAAAACTGATATCAACGCTTTGAAAACGCTCAGGGAAATCATATACGAGGACGTGCCTATGAAGGACAAGACACAATCAAGCGTGTCGGGTATTCAACAGTAGCGCCAGTCGGCACATGACTAACCAACTTGCGTAGTGACACCTCAGGAATTTCACTGAAAGTGCCTTCTGTAACACCACTTAAGCTAGTTTACAGGTAACCGGGGGACAAAGTGCCACTCACATTTTTCTGTTTCAAGTCTCTAAATAGAATGCGAATTCACTATTCACTGTCGTTTGAATAGTCGTCCTCCTGTCCCGGCGCAATCCATCACTGAGTGCCTTGTTCTTGAAAGATACGTCATACCACTTGAAGGAATAATCACACAAGTACGTTGAATTGATCGCTACCGCCTCGCTAACATTCCAGATCAATCATAAAACATAAACCGACTTTCATGTTCGCGTGAAAATCCTGGACTCTACATAGTTCTGAATGGCCTAAAGTATATATCAGATCTCTCGTTTATCACTCATCGAATACACACCTTTCGGCATCGTTGACTACGAACAACATCAAGTTGTGCGACAGCGGAGTGCCGGTGAACTGTGCTCTGGCATCTTAACGCGTTTTTGCCTATCACCAGTGAACCTTACTGATTTCGTGGGCCTTGTATAACAGGCATGAGGAAAGAACACCCATAAATAGCAATAAGATTTTGGCGCTGTCAGAATTTTATACCAAGCTGATGTAAACCCGAGATAAAACGCCTGCGAACACTTTGAGACTGTTCCATCCGTGACTGGAATCGACACTACACATTTCCCAGTTCTGTAGGAGAATTGAAATTCGAATCTTTGGGCAAAGCAATTGAATTTTAAACCCTGTGTTAGTGGTATGGTTAATTCGCACATAAACACAGTATATACATGCATTCATATCACGTCCTGATGTTAAAGATTTACGATACGCTTTGGTTGCCTGATAAGCTGCGAATGGCGATGAAGAGCAAAGCGGAGGTTGTGTTACTTCTCAAATTTCCGGTGTGAAATCAGGTTGCAAACTTGTGTAAGCATTAAAATCTACTCGTTAAAAAAGCCTACGGACTTGGCCGTGCCAGTCATGTGACATGCAAGGTGAACGTCTTACCACCACTCCACAAAAGCAGGCTGGTCACACCTGAAATTTCCCGTCTGAACTGTCGAACTTGTTTGCGCTTGAATGATGTGAGTGGCTCGCCCGACGCCACGAACGGCTATCCAGTGACTGTCCTAGCTGTGTCGTCCGATGGACTTGCCAGTTACGTCGCACCATGGGCGCCTGAATCCTGCAGGACGATTTTTGGTTCGTTGTAGATGGTTGCGAGATTTGTAGACCTTACACTCATATCACTCTCGTGTCCTGGTGGAATTATTCTGGTGAGTCCATGTCTAGCGTTTGAACCCCAGTACGGCCAAGAACATACCCTACTTATGAATAGCCAGATACTTGTTCCCAGCTTTCAACGATAAGCTGACTACTACCAGTATTTTGAGGGGAGCAGGACAGACTTGTGTTAATTGATACTCTACTCTACAAATGAGGTCAGCGTATGCTGCAAAGCCAGTGAGCATTGTACGGCCATTTACCCTTATTGAGGATCATCAGTACTGTGTAACTTGGCGGGGGTATTGGGCCCGCAGTCTTAGATGGAGGAGAGCCAGCGAGGTTGACACATGACGTGTCAGCACGAATTTTCAATCACATCAAGTGACTAAGTGTTGTCTGGCTCCTTGGGTGTGCGTCTTCGCATCGCCCGAGATCTGGTTCGGGAGCAGGAGAGGTTTAGTGGTTCCAATATGACGATGCTTGTCAAGGGGGAAGAAATATTTCTACAGGTCTTCATAACTTATTGGTACCAGATGTCAACACAAAACAGAAGTAAACTTTCGATCCATTGTGAAGTTACGAACTCTTCGAGGTGAGGAACGGATGATTTACAAGTTCGAAATTCTTTTTCAGCTTCCTGTCGTGCTCTCATGAACCAAGACATCTGTTTCAATATCCCAATCTTCCGGAGGTTCAACAAACGACTGACATGGTCATGCAACGGATAAATAAAGTGGAGCACAATAGTAACAGATGGGTGAGAAGAACCTACCATCTCAGTTCACTGAGTTCCTGACACAGCATTTGATTTTTCTCCTTCAGCCGTTCATAATCGGAGTGTTCGTTTTTGCAATAAGCCTTTTCACTGACCAGCATCCTTGAACAAAAAAGGACAGTAAAATAATAGATCTTCCTATTGATAAGGCACAACTGAGCACTCTGAAATGTAATCCAGAGGGACTATGCATTATGATACAGTCTATCGATTCAGTCTGTCGATTGATTCGAATACTGTTGGTATAAATAAAGAGTGATCATGCGAGAGGGCTCATTCAGATGGTTTAATGGGAGATGTTCTCTCCTGGGAATGGCCTTCAACAAATTGACGACAGGAGCAAATGACACCAACCGCTTTTGTTTAACACAAAAAGCACACTAACTGCGGGATTTCAACATTTAGCTCAATATCATTTGCCGCATTACCAAAGACATCCGGTTTTACAAACATCAATGAAGTGAAAAACAGAGAAGGATGGAACAATCGGATGATTCAGTTGTTCAGGGTCAAAGACTGGCAGATCGTCTGTTTACAGGGCTTCTGCGCTTGTAGGGTCAGTGGATGTGTTTGTCTACGGAGGTTTGACCGGATGTGAGAAGAATTGGGATCGTGTTACGTAACAAGATAGCAGGCACGGGCGTTTAATCAAGATGCTGTTACATAACGCGAATCCGAATATGGTCGCGGCTAGAGATATAGCACAGCTCAGGCAATATCCAGTGGATCAATATGCGCAGATATATCTCAAACAGACGACATGCCTCCATGGGACTAAATTCGACCTTGATCGATCGAATAATGTGATTGGTTCCACTCTTCGCCTATACTGTACAATTGTCTCTAACACACAGACGAAAGAGGTTAAACTGAAATCCCAACATACCAAAGCCTATCCTCTTCCGCGTTAGCCAGAAGTCTTCCTGAAGTCATCATAGAATGAATAAAGTTGCGTTCAGCTAGCACTGAAGCAGGCACTCTCAACGGTATAGACAACCGTGGGAGATATTCATTTGTACGTTCTCTGTTGTGACCTCTTCTGAGAGGTCTCTAGGTAAATTTCTTGTTTGAGGGACGTTGGATGCGTGTCTTATGGCCCACATCGTCGCGGGAAGCAGACATGCGGCTACAAGCAGCGCACAACAAGGTCTGATGCCCGGAGTTACTGGGATCTCTGTGAACCAACTGCACACTGCGGACCACCCAAAAAGTTCGGAATTTGGGGGAAGCAACATGTTACATTGTGATAAAGATACAAACAACATTTATACGTTACGTCCTTGCGGTGCAGGTTTATCGGAACTGACACGCTGTTACAACAAGTTGACTAATTTCAATAAGCATTTTAGCTGTAACTGTGCTCTAGTTGATAGACCTCACAGGGACATTGTGTGTAGTTTTTTGAGAAAGCCGAGTCAAAGAATAAGACATGTTCTGGACCCAAATGTATCAGGTTATCTTACCTTTTTAATTCCTCCAATTCCGAATACAGGTGTTGCGTTTCTCGCTGCCGCGTTTCGTGGCTTCTACGCAGCTCCGTCTGTGACTGTTCCAGTAGGGAGTTCTGATATCTACCGTAAATAGATACTCTATGCGTTATCGTTTTTCGCAATACGTTTTGCGTACATCAAGACATTAGTGAGCTTGTGACCATGACATGTATGACTGTACGATTGCTAACACAGGTGAACTCTGACAACCAATGCAAGATTTCTTTCTGTGGGATGGTCACCACATGTGAGTGCCAGGATGATTGTCAGGTCTTTTGGTATGCGGCGATTGTTGATCTACAAGCACATCAAACAGTGGTACGCACTTGAACACAAAGAGCTTTGACAAACACTAACACTTGATGTCTGTGTATGGATTTCACTACGTTTGAAATCCCCATGTAATAACCTGTGTTGCAGATGAGGTATCGTCTTCTTCAACCACAGCTTTCGCTCTCATGAATTTCAGTCTCCAACTCCTAAAGTTTATTCGTAGCAGTTCAGTGGTTTGTTTGCTGTGGCACGTCGCACCTATTTACCATTGGTTTGTAGCGCATGCAATTTCAAACAAGGCCGATTTTTCATTCATCTTTGTAAAAAAGCGTACACTGACAAAACACTATATGGTTTCACCATGACTTGTTTTGACGACACTTCCTCTTAGAGGAAGCACTTTCGGTAACATCCAAGTAATTTCCCAACAGGAATATTTCGTCGTTAAAGAGGACCATATAGCGTAGTTTCTGCACCAGATTAATGAAACTTCACCTGCACCCAGGTGTGTGAAACAATTCCTGTGAGGACCGGAGGGGACTTGAATTAACGCAACGACTTACCACGAAAACGTGATCCCACTTAACGAAGAAAACAAAAATAAGTTTTCAGAACACGAGAGGCACTGCTGTACGGTGAGTCTCTTTATCCCTTCCTCCACGTCGTATTCCAACCTCACATTGAATGACTCTGTGTACATATCCAGGGTTAAATAACCGGCCAACTTCAGTAAAACAAATTTCCCCACTATAGTGAGATGATACATCAGGTGCTCTTATGACGCAAACTGGGATGCTAACCAACTCGAATTTCAGATCAATGAACAATACAATGAACAACAAAGCGGAAGGCGTGCTTTCTCTCTAATCCTGGTTCGTTTTCTTGGAGGAAAATTGCGCGAAAAAACCCCACCCCCTGGAATCGTTTCCTTAGTGGGGGTTACTCCAAAGTATCAACGGGTGATTCAACTGAATCCAGCTGACTCTCTCCTCTAAAATGACGCCTAATGTGCTGCACCTCATGTGGCCTCCTCCAGTTTCATTTCGTATGATATTTGATATATCGCAGTAAATTGTCTAGATGGAACACGCTATTCCTCGGGTAGGTGAAAACTCTTCAAGGGTTCGCGACTGACTACATCCTACTTGAGGCAGCCCTCGAGTTGCCGTCAATCGTATGTTCTAATTAAGCTCAGGTAAGACACGCGAACTGCACTCATTCGCAAACTATGTTGGTTTTGACAGGAAACTCAGCTAAATCCAGTCAAAAGCGTTGTCCCTTATGGGACGCCTACTGGCAACACTTGCACACAAACCCTCCTTTATGTGGCTACTAATAATGAAATATTTTGTCATCTTTTCTCAGACTGGCTACGTTTACTCATCCAATTAAATTTTGCGTTTATTATGAGACACCCTGTAGAATACAAAGTTGGCTCATCTACCTGAACAAGAAGGGCAAAGCCGGTCATGGACTGCGGAAGCCTCTTTGAGCAACCTGACACGCAGTGTATTACCCTGGGAGGTTTAAAGAACTACCTTCACGAAAAATGGTGATGAGGCGAGTGATCCGGGCCTGAAATAATTAGCGGTACAATGAATATGTTTGTAATTTGTTATAACTTGAACATCGTCTGCAATCATCATACTAATTCCGGAAGCTTCATTACTCTCACCATAGCTCATACCCATCGGACGATTCGTTAGGCCGTATTGTGCCTGAATCATTCCCAGGCAATTTCATCCCGTAAAGATTTTTATAGAGTGGGAAATTTCACCATAAGATCTGCAGACCCATACCAAGTCTACTGATTTGCTCAAGGCTATCAAATAATAGATAAAAATCGAGGTAAGTGTCTATCCGTCAGCCATGGTATGCGGGGATCGGGCCGTTATCCATAACAGAGGCAATCCCAAGCCACTCGTCCAATCCTACCTTGGCGTTCAAAAGAAGCTAATGCAAACTTTAAGCTTTTGAGTATCCACAGTAAGTCGTTTATCCTAGTTTGCTTCCGGCAGTGATGCCACCCTTGTTGAGTTAAGTCATTATCCCCTATTTCCACTTTGTAAATGCAGAAATGGGTGGCGTTCGTATTCGTTGTATAAACTACGATATATAGGTCAGAAAATAGGTCTTGTACACGACGTATTCTGGTGTGGCTTGCGCTAGCAAGATTGGACGTTAGAGACATGTCAGTCCTTGTTTGATGCATGCGCCAAAATTTCGCTAGCCACGAAATGTCACTACATGTACCGTCTAACTGTCCCAGCAGGACATTATCATCTTCCGTCAAGTATTGCATTTATGCCTGTGATGATGTTTAAGTAGCGAGTGTTCGAAAATGACTTTCATTTGTCCACTTCGGGACATGAAACCTTACGTTGCCTTCTGACAGTGAACCATTTGTTCACATCACACTTCTCTTACAGATTTGTAACAAGCTAGTTGTGTCCTCAACTGAACTAACTGCAAGTCGTAGAAAAATATACCGGTTTTTCAAATGTATCGATTGCACAACACTTCAGTCCTATTTAAAAGACAAACTGCTATTTGTGAATACAACTTTCACTTGCCTATTTCAGAGTTCCGACGGCGTGGAATTACTAACACAGTTGGATGGTTTTTCTCTAAGAATATGTTAGTGGAGATCCGGTATGCATTCCTCTTATTCTGTCTATTTCGTTCATTTATTTGCATTCTGCAATGCGGATCCTAGTAAATTTTGATCTCATTCGTATCCGTTCGATATCCATCGATCTCTTACATTACCTATTATCCGCAGTTCACCCAGAAATAGAATTCGAAAACTGTTGGGTGCTGTTCCGACACCCACTGTAAACCGTGCTGTCATATAGTGAGTCTTAGAGATCGAATGCTCTTATGAAAGACCGGACTGGTCTAGTCCAAAGGCATATAGGTTATTTCAGAGTAGGGGACTCAATTAACAAACATTCCTATACATCTGGTCAAAATCGACTCGTGCCTTTATTGGACAGGTGTCGTGTTCATTGATTTGCAGTCCCTCAAAAGTTCCAGGCAAAAATGTACTGAAAAGCGGTAAAGCGTTTCCGAAAATCGAACAGTCCAAATATGAATCTTGCCTTCGGCCTCTTCTACATAAGTGAACTCTTCAGAGTGTAGCTGATTTGTTCTTTTTGGTTCAGTGATTTTGAATGTCCCTGAAAAAAGCGAACTGAGGTCTCGCGGGTCCTCAGATTCGAGCAACCAGCACTCGCTAGCTTCAAAATATGAGTACCTCTCTTCTCTGTGTAATGTGCTACCACCTAGTAGCAGACCCTATAATGTACGGTCGCAAAACTGCGTTTGGCTGTGCGTTGCGTCTCCATTTTTACTAATTGTTCTAAGGACTTTATGCTTTTCAGTACAAGCTGAGGTGCTACTTTCTCCCATCTCTGGTCCTTTCTTCTGTATCAAAGAGTTTTCCGGAGCGCAGATCTCCGTGAGTCAATCAGCAATGCGTAGTACAACTGCTGTATACAAGTTGAATGCAATGCTACCAACAGACGAAACACAAAGTGGCCATTGGTGTCATAGGGTATGTTTCCATACACGAACAGACGGTCCATACAAAATGAAACCCAATATTATGGCCTGTCGAACGCAGTTTTTCGATTTTATCCATTTTCTTAAGTCTGAATGTGGCTATGTGATGATATTCGGGATACAGTAGATGAAGAACAATTGTTTTTGACACCCAGGGCCGGAAAATTCACCAATGGTTTCACAGCTAATTGTTGGTAACCGAGCGTAATAACTGGCGTAATATCTACAAAACAGTCGTTTTAATCGGCACTTTTCAAACATTGATGTAAAAGACGCAAATAGAAGAAAGCTGGATTAGTTTCCACAGCTTAATCGACGGTGGACTGTCCTCCCTACTTGGCACCAGCTGAATCCGTGACGCAGACAGAGGCTCTTAAACGATGTCGCAGAGCCTGTAATTCAGGGAACCTCGGATTTCTTATTGTCACTTTTCAAGTGCGGCAATATGATACACAATGACTTAACGCTATAATGATAAAGCCTTTATACTGATCTGTTCAGGACGAGGATAGTCAACCAACGTCGCAGTTCTAGTGGCCCCGGTAACGAATGCCACTTACTGCAAGGGTCTCTGAGCATGCAATGGTGATCAGCTTACCAAATGTGCTTGCAAACTGGGCTATTCAGCACGACATTAACGTCAAGTTCACACTGAAAACCCCAAACCTCATTTACGGCAATCGAGCAACAGAAATATGGCCTTCAGCTTTCTATGGAATCTAGGCTAAGCTAGGAAGGATGATCCAGTTCAGTAGTGGTCTCCGTCTACCTACGGAAGAAAATTTTTCGGATTATTAGTGTGTGAAGGCGTCCTTTGTCTACGGCGTCTGGCCGCTAGTACAAGCACGATGGAAACTTGCATGGAGTGGAGTAAGCGCAGTATGGTCTGTTCCCAGGAAGTTTCCGTTGAAAACTCAGATGCTACCAGAATTTCATCCATTTACTGGAGCCAGTCGCTTTTCGGGTGAACTACTGCAGTCGAATGAGTAAAAGCTTCTTTCCCAATCTAGTTCTAGTTAACTTAGACGTTGCTGGCTTTTCACACACTGATGAATGGTGAGATATTGGACAGGTCGAACGTTGGCTGCCATGCCAACCGAAGGAGGCACCAGGCCTGAGATGCTGCCGAGTCTAGACAGAAGCAGTCGACATGCCGGGGTAAAGCTCGAACCACGGACCTTCCTGGTAGCAAGTCCGTACCTTTAACCACCGAATATCTCGAGCTCTAGACAGGTTGAAAGTTAATGGACGATGACTAATTGTATCCTGGGGTTTACAGGTAGGCATGGTCACTCGTGCTTGAAGTTCTGTCTAAACCACTTGCTAATTACGTTACGTAATTGTTTACCTCCCTATTCCCCAGGCTAATTCATTACCCTTCCTGAGACTGCTCAGGTTTCAAGGCCGAACTGGTCTATGTTATGCAAAGTCGACCCTATATCAGCCGTTTTTCTATAGTCGATTTGTGCACATTCATTTGGTGGGCTTTTTGTTGAAAATTTGTCCCACTTTGAACCGAGCAACATTTTCCCGTCTACTCTGTCCAATAGCACACTGCCCTTTCTGTGCCATGTTGTGTTGCTAACTGCCCAAGGTTCAATCTGGCCGTAAGCTTATCGCTAATTTTCCTCAAAATTTACTGTTAATATCTTATAGAACTATCTATCTATAATGTCTGCCCACGTCCAATTCAATATATTGTTCACTGCCCAATTGCGACTACTAAACACATGCAGGCGAAGTTCGTAGAATTCGCGAATATACACTCATTTGCAAACTAATTTGGTTTTTCCAGCGACTCAATTAGAACCCAGCTGAATCTGTCTTTGGTGATGTTCTCAGGCAACTGAATGTGCTGCACCAGGCTGCCTCATGTTTCAGTCGCTACGATATTCGAGATATCACGATACATGTATACCTTTGTAATGCACTACTTATAAAGTTGCTGACGACGGGCTGTCGACGGATTTTCAGCAACCTTATGAGTAGTACATAGGTACATAGTACACATTAGGTTTCGCCGCAGTTAGAACTGACCGTCCGTCGGCGAATTAGACTACACGTTACCTGTCAGATAGGAAAATTGATCGTGCGTTTAGGCTAATTAACCAAGTCCTTACTTTGAGATCTTGGCCTTAGCACAGGATAGTACACAACTAATGCCGATTTTTTATGACCTTATCCGAATCCTAACTTTGCCTTTTTCGACATAAAATAGGCTTACTTAGACAATCCTTAACGGTCTGTACGTCGCGATATTCTGGGAAGTCGAATCGGCTGTCAACTGTCTCTTATCTCACAAGCTAAGGTCGCTAGCTCCAAGGTGTATCAATAGCACGAACGAAATGTGGTCAAAATTATCAGTTTAGCCAGCCAGTTGACCTTAATCGGAATGTGTTTGGCTCATTACCATTCAACTATCTACTGAATACCTGTTGTTCTGATCCTTGCAGACATTGGCTTTACGCTCATTCTTATTGACTGTCTGTAGGAGCACCATAATTATTCTGCTTGATGAAATTCATCGATATACTGATTGCGATCTGTAATACGGTAAATGAACTGAGGTCACGCGTGTACGTGTGCACGTATGTCTGTGTGTACGCGCACGTGCGTGTACCCGTGCAGTTGTTTTTGCGTACTGAGCACCTTTGATCTCGTGGTCGTAAGCGATCAAAACTAAATGAACCAGCTGAGACTCGTCGATAGCGCAGAGCTGGTGGCCAACAATACCTCACACTGACTGGCTGGAAACCCAAGTCAACAGACACACGGGCGTCCAATTGCGTTTTGGTTTTGGCACCGCTATTTACTGTGGGGCAGCTTGTCATAAGCTTTATCCTAACCTAAGTCTGTTGACAAGTAAACCAATTTAAATCGATATAGTGTAAACAACTACGTTCTCGTTCTTCGACAGTCCACGACCGATGTCGCCCTTCTGAGGCTCATCACAGGCGCATCCCCGGGTTCCCCTCAACCTTTTGTTCTAATTGAACCTAAATTGCACGAAATTAGCGGAATCGGTCGCTTTCTATTATAGACAAAATAAGCATTGTCTGACTGTGAGGCGTAATTAGGAGGAGACTCAAAATATAAAGTTTCATATGGAGAGAAAGCAAGGAAATCACACTGGTCAGACCGAAAAAACTCTCCAGCCTACCTCAAATTCTCGTTTTCCATACGATATTGTTCAAGCATCTCTTCGGTTACAGCAGCCATTTTGGTGTCTTGCTCACTGGGACCGACACCTTGACTTTTGACAGAGGGTTTGTTCATGTTTAGGTTTTCTGGACGCACTTTTAAAAAGGAATAAAAGGTTTGTTTTCTTCAATGAAGAGAACGCACTGGTAAAACGAACAAGAATACGGGTTTTCAAGTATACGCGCGACGAACATTATTGTCGACCATCGTTTGCTGTTTAAAAGAGAATAACATAGTTACGCCGGCGTAAATGAAAGAGCAAACAGACTTGTTCGCTTTTCGGTCTATTTCGGGATGAAGTTTATGCCCCCCATCTTGCTTCAGGACAGTTTTTGGAGCGATGAAGTTACTGAGTTGATGGCGGGGCTCTGGACCGTGCATGACCAGCTGTGTATGGTTGAAACCACAGTTGACCCGTTCTAATGGTACATGATCTATGCACCTTCAGAAAACCCATTATTAAACCTGTGGACCTTGTGCGTATGAGACGACTTAACAAACGCTCACGTGATAGGACAAGGCCACCACGTTATGAAGTAGTCAGTCATTAACGGTCGCATGGTGTTAAAGTAACCCAGAACCCTCAGAACCTTCCACATTTACGCTTTTCTTGGAAGCGTTGTCTCTTGGGAGGCGACATATGCTCTGAGACATATTTGCGGTACCGCTGAAGTACAATACGAATCTTGTGAATCGGCCTACACAAGAGAGTGGTTGCAATAATTTAAAAGAGAAAAAGTTAGAAGTGTAGAACGAGTAAAAGAAAGGAATCTTTGTCATTGAGCGCTGTGTCCAGCGCGCCTTCGGGGCTTGTGTTCTGAGTCTCGTTAAATTAGATAAACTATTCGGAGGGTGAAAACGTGAAAGATACAGGGCGCCATTATTATACGACTTCACTCGGTTACTTGTGATTTCTACGATAGACTGCTCCTCATTCTGTCGTACAATTAGCCCACACCTTGGATACAAGGCTTGTCATAGAGTTACCTGTAACCTTAGAGTACCAACGAAGTATTCTTAAAGCCTGTCTGTAACTCAACGCATGTTTTTCAGGTTTAGACACGAGCCATCAATGGCTATCTACTTCCAGTAGGATTGTGCCTATAATGCGCCGTAATCCTGGCGAAAGCCGCACTTTTCAGCACCATCTTAGATAGTGGTGTCGGAACCAGCTTCCTAAGGCTGTTGTCCCGAGAAAGGCTGGTAAGGTGTAGTGTTTCATTAGATAAGCACAGATAAGCGTAGATAAGCACAACCACCAACCCATCGCTACGCTTCACCACGCTCCCCTACAACGCACTGATGATATCACCTCGATTGGTGATAAACTGTTTACAATCAAATCGCCCAGCTCAACGAACAAACCAACGACCATCTATGATACCTGAGCTACCAACATTCTCTTCTAAAGCAGATAGGATCATGTGAATCATATTTTGATGCAGTTCTGTGTTTCACAGTGCCCATCTCATTGACTGGATAATTCATATCACCAGTAGTTTTACTAAGGAAGTTCTGCTCTAAATTGCCACTTCGCATCGATTCGTTAGCTTTGATGGCCTTACTTGTGTCCAGCTTAACGGTTTTTGGCTAGAACCCCCTTTAATGTCACCGTGGCTGAGCTGCCAAGGCCGTGGGTTTGTGTATGTAATAGGTGATAGGTGCACAAAATACACACCTTGACGTGGATGACCAGGCTGTTGTCCTTTTGGGAGCACATCTCTTGGAAACAGGCAGGCTGTCTCTCGTGGTGCAACCAAAATTGAAACAGGGTCACTTTGCTTCTTCCTCCAAAGTACACTCGTTTTTGGGAAAGGAGAACAGATCTCTAGTTATATGCACATGTACACTAATGTATCTCCCTTTTTCCGTTCCCGAAGACTTGGAATTCTGACGGCAAGGTCTAGGATGTCCCGTACAGTGTGTTATCACACCATTCGGTCGGATCATTTACTAAGAAAAACAGCTGTCACCCGGAACGATTACGAACCGCTTCCAGTGATGTTAGTTAGACTCATGCTGGTGCTCATTGTGAATGCTGAAGTGTGAATGGATTTTTCACTGTAGCTTCACTGACCCCAGGCGGCCCCATAGTCTAAACCGAGTCTAAACTGAAGAGACTCTCAGTTAGTATTCACAAGGTGTTTATCTGATATTGCCCATACAAATGTCCTGCGATCATCAGTGTCATTCCTAGCACTGACCTTTGTTTGAATACACTAACTTCATCTTCTTCACTATTTGCAAACGGCATTCGGAGTAGTGGTCGAGCACAGTTAAGCGAGAAATACCGCCAACTTTCAGACGGTTACCACTAAGGTAGAACAAGATGTTTGATGACGATCCTACAACACCTCCGTTAACCGACTGTCGTTCAGGCGTCACACAATGTCAGAATGCCTGCCAGACTATGTTTGTCATGCAATCAGGCTACTCTAGACAACCTTAGGATCAGGTTCTAAACAATAATTGGGTGAACGGGTCGATCGTTACCACTGCGACACACTGATTGTCACAGTGTGTGATCGTCACAGTGTCCTGACGAACAATAGGTAAATTGGAAACTGATCCATAAGGAAGAAGGGCATCGGAATAGTGTGCAGCTTCTCATAATTGTCGATCGATGGAGATGTTATTCTAACCATCAGCATAATGAAGATAGAATCTGGTTATCAGAAAGGGAAACAAATTACCATACTTTGAGTTAGGATAGGATTCAAGTTAGGATACACCGAAGGGATGATGGAAGTGTGCTCATTTATGTGGTTCCCAATCCTCCGCGCTGATGGTAGAATTATATCCATAGTTCCGAGTTTAACTAGTAGAAAGCAGTTCTGTGAGCGACTTCGAATAGATTTCACTGCCTACTTAAATACTTCTATTACGGACCAGTTTGAGATTGTCATATTTGAAGGCAGCCTTGTGAGTGTCTCAAAAATAATCGTTTAGCTGTAAGCATCCTTTCTGTGTCTAGCTGCCATGCCACCAGATGGAAGCACGAGGGCTGGGATACTGCCAAGATGCCCAAGCCTAGATACGAGCAATCGAGATGCAGACCTTCCGGTCAGTAAATTCGCTCTCTAACCACTGATCCAATCTCGCACTGTGAGTATCCAGCTCCAGACCTGTTGTACAATTTCAAAGGTTACTTGACTCCTGGGTTGGCTTTTTCGGCAAGATGTGACGTTAATTCATAATCGATATAAAGGCAATTGTTAGGGCGCGATGTTTATCGATTTGCATCAGCGATCAAAAGGGACAAGTAAATGAACATGACATCAGATTGGTGATGCACATGTAGGTTGCGTACATACTGCCTTCCCGGGATGCTAAAAATAAAACACGATACAGTCTTTCGTGCAACAAAACGAAATATAGAGCAATATATGTCACCTAGCGGATGGAAGGAAGAATGCTTACCTGGTGTACCGCATCGGTTATGCACTAATTCACACATGTTCCTGTTTTCTGCCCATAATCGTTGGACTTCCTGTTGAAGTTGGCTAATCATCTGAAAGATGCCAAAATATGGTTGACACACTCAAATGTATCGAATCCAACAACAGATATTCCCCTTAAAACCAAAGTTTACCAACGACAGAACTTCCCCGTTGATCACATGGATGTCGTACTTCACTGGACCTGAACCACTATTGGAAGCATAAATTTCAGCGCCTGCTTTGCGAGTATACAAAATCCCAGGCCACTGGTATTGATTCAAAATGTTGATCAATGCGAAATCAGCGAATATCAGTTCCTCCCTTACTATTTTTCCCAAAAGACATGAGTCGAGTCCCCGAAGCACTATGAACTTTGCGCATTTGAGTACTGGAGATATGTAAAACGATCCAGTTAGAAAGAATCGAGCCATACATGTGGCGAAGCACATCAAGGCGAAAAATAATGACTTAATTTGTCTTATGCAACCACAATCACCTAGGTTGGTAGCAAACTGACCGAGCTTCAAGATAGAAGAAAATCATCGTAAGAAGGAGGTGGACTAACTTGAGGAGGAGATGAGATATTTGGTCAAACAAATTACGAAAAATGTGGGAGCAGAACGGTAACATTTTCGACAAACTTTCCAGTATTGTTTGGCGGATTTGTTTCCTAATGTCAAAAAAGTGCCAATTGCACCGAATTTTTCTACTACGCACCGTAAGTCAGTGGCTTGCAAGTGAACTTTCCTGTTACTGGATGAGCTGCATTGCTTCTGTCGACGGTATTTGTCCGTTTTTCTTGTTTATGTCTCGTCATTCAAACAGGCCCACCAGAATGTTGATTGGCCTTCAAATCTGTCTAAGTGCACGCTTTGTCGTAATCGAGTGTGGACATAGACCAGTGACAGAAACCACAAAAACACACGACTGTCCAAAAAACAACACCGTCAAAGTACCCGTTACAGTGGCATGTGCTACTGTCACGTGTTAAGTAGTTTTAAGGTCACATTCCGCTATCAAAGCTTCGCTCGACTCTCTAGAAGCAGAACCCGACGTCGATTTCCGTTCATCACTGAGGATTGTCATCACTAACAACGACAGAAGTACATCAGAAGTAAGTACTGATGCCTAGACGCTATGCTGTTAACCTTTGGCAAACGACAAAGGTGCCAAAATTCTACCTGAAGGGTCAACTACTTGTACCCCATCATTCATTAGAACCAGTAAGCGGCACATGAACACGCTTCACATCACATGATGAACTATAATCGGTGTTATTCTTTGCAATATGAGGTAAAAAATAGATACCTGTCTAGTGGTTGCAGCTTACTCCTAGATTTAGGTTTAAAACCACTATTGGGCTGGATCAACCAGGCTCCAAGCAGTTATAAAAGCAAGTATACGTTTATTCGTAATGCGGTACTCATAAGGTATCTGAAAATTCTTCGACAGCCCACGGCCGCTTTCACCCTTCTTGAGGCTCAGCAGGTAGGCGCACTCCCTGAGTTTCCGTCAACCTTATGCTCTACCTGAAACCAAATTGCACGAGATTAGCGAATTGCACTCATTTGCAAACAAATTTGGTTTTGTGAGAGACCCATCTGGAACCCAGCTGAATCTCTCGTTTGTAATGTTCACAGGAAACACCGCAAACGATTAAAACTCGCCAAGTACGAGTTAACTCATGCACCATCGAAGACGTCTTTCAAAACATGACCCTTGAAACATGTCGTTTTTCTGTTTACCTTTGACAAACCGTCAGGTCAGTGAATTTTTCTTGCTCGAAACAAAATAGTAGACTCTATGTAATGCTGGAGGTCACCCTTCTGAGGTAGGGAAATTGGACGCAAAATACACGATTTGTGCTCCCTCAACGAAGTGACCTATATTGACAGGAATCTCTGTTGGGAGAGCATCTGTCCTTCTCTTTCCCGTCTATAACAACCACTTTTGCAACTGATAATCTGACATATCACTGGATTTCCAGTGGATTACCGCATGTTGTTCTAGATGTCTCGGACTGATGGTCTTAGGTGAATGGGTAGGGACCAAAGCTAGGCTGTCTTCACGTCTTTTGTGTGTTCAGAAGACATAACAGTCGTCATTTTGGTCAAGCGCTCCGAAGCGGAGCAGGTGGGAGGGTGGAGGGAATCGTCGTTCCATACCCAAAGCAGCAATTTTATTCGCAATGACCTTACAAGGGCGAGTGACAGCCGATTAAACCAGGATCTTTAAAACTGTGTCCGGTTGTCATGTTTCTTTCCGGCACATCGCAGCGTCCAGAACAATCGACCAACTGTTTCCTAAATTGGTTCCAAGCTTTTTCCATCAAATTGGAGAACTGAAGAAATTTTCTGAATGGACACTCAGCTGACCCGCAACCTAGATGGCCAACACATTGAAAGCACCAAAGGTCTCCTCAGGTTTCACAACAACTATATGTCAATTAGACCTACTGAAGCAGTCTGTTGGCCAATCGGCTTCAAAGTTCTCACTTCAAAGGCAGTGACGAACATGTTCTGATTAATGACGGCGGGTGTGAGCAATGACGAGTTGTTAACCATGTTCATGGGTTCAAAACTAACGTTTCTACAGCTATAGTCGATAAAACAGTGACCAGTAAGTAGAACAGAAGGGTATAGATAGCAATTAATAAGTATGGGGGTCCTTACCCTCTGCCGTATGCTGCAAGTGAAGCGAATAGGCTGATGTTGACAGCCGGTATGGTATTACATTATTGGTAATTCATCATTTCGCGTAAGGTAGTTCCAGGCTACCCGAAATAGTAGTCCAACTAAAGTACTCGGCCAAAATACAGGCTGTGAACATGAAGCATTGGTAACGACAGTGTAAAAGTCAGTAGATACAACAGAAAAGTCCCAGTGGCACTCGAGGAATCCAATAGCGTGATGAGAATCCCACTACTTTTAGTATTTATCCATGGTGTCACTTCCGAATTCTATGCTGTAATTAAGCTGGCACCTGTGTGCAGCTCGTAAATAAGTTCGAAGAAGCCGTCGAACTACAAGTATCATTGGAATCAACTGTGATGTGTAGCCGCTAATGGAGGACGGGAGAGGTCGATTAAGGGTTCTACAGGACACGAACGAGGATTGATGGGAAATATCTGAATAGATTTCTGTTGCGAAAAAACAGTCCCCTTCGTAATGAACTCCCCCCGATGCCATACACTGCATCACCAATAGTTTAAAGATTTACTTCAACTGATTGGTTAGGTCGGTTGTTTTGTCTGCTTGACTGGACCATTCGACTGCAAACGTTTAATCACCCTACCATTGGGCCTTATCAGCCTGTTCTCTGGCGTTCTGCATGTGGTCTGATTCCCACTAATCGCCTTATCATACTTACCTAGTTCAGTGGTTTGGCACTGATGTAGTTATGCCACAATCCGACTAGCTCCGAACTGAAACTGATATGTCCTTAGGCTTACGCAGGGATTTATTGGCAAAATTGTTTTCGTATTCATGTGCTCATGTACACGCATGGTGTGTAGGTTTTTTTTCACTGATACAGCGAAAAAAAGTTTCTATAACGATGTGTTACGCCAACAACTGGAGGCAAACGTTCCAATGGGAAGGGTTTTGTAGAGGGTATTTTATCCCTTGTGTGCCCATTAATTGAAGTGCATATTAGTAAAATCGGCGCACATAATTTTTAACCGTAAACAAGTGATGGTGATGGCCAAAACGGTCATCATAAATGGAGCACTGTAGGGCGATCGCGCCCTACAATTTTGCTCATTTTTCATCCGGCTCTTGAAGTTCCACCGGAAATTTTGCCCACCCCAGTCTACGCTGCTGACCACAACATCAAGGACATCGTCCGTATGAAGCTGAGTTCCATTTTGCTAGAATGACAAATCCATTCCCGTATGGAACAATGGGATCATGCAAGCAAACTAGAAATGAATTACTAATGACTGAAAACGAAGACCAGGACGGCATTTTCTCCCCCGCTCCAAACATGAGGTTTTCAGCTCCTAAAAAGCGACAATCCCGGACAGCGAGGGTGTGCGTGTGTGTGCGTCGGTATTTATCCTCGACACACTCGGCCGTCATCTCAATGAGGAGGTTTTGTGAACCACCAGTTTCCAAAGCACTGTACAACTGTCTAATCCTTATTGGGAATTATCAGCAATGTGTATCACATGAACTCGTAACCTCTCGGCTAGTAGTTGAAGACTGAACTGTTCGGTCATCAGCGGCTGATCAGCAGTGTGATTAACTCTCACTAGGCTGGATCGCTCCAAACATGAGGTTTTCCGCTCCTAAAAAGCGACAATCCCGGACAGCGAGGGTGTGCGTGTGTGTGCGTCGGTATTTATCCTCGACACACTCGGCCGTCATCTCAATGAGGAGGTTTTGTGAACCACCAGTTTCCAAAGCACTGTACAACTGTCTAATCCTTATTGGGAATTATCAGCAATGTGTATCACATGAACTCGTAACCTCTCGGCTAGTAGTTGAAGACTGAACTGTTCGGTCATCAGCGGCTGATCAGCAGTGTGATTAACTCTCACCTAGGCTGGATATAGCGCCACTCATTCTTCAGTCACCGGATTCACGTCACATGGTCACGTGTTGGTTGGCCGCTTAAGTGACAGCTTCTCAGTTAAAGAGTTTACTCGCTCGAATTATTCTTCTGAACTACTTTTTGCTGAAATCATGAATGTGACAAAACAGGGATATGGAAAGAGCTGGGCACGTCCGTGGATGTACCCCCGATGAATTATTTGTAATATCAATGAATTAAGGCCTATACAGACGACTTAGATCAGCCATAAATTGCGCATTTCGAATGTTCATACCAGAGCCGGTCTGGTCTCCAAGTAAGCCTTGCTCAAAAATCGTATTAAACGTAGCTACATAACACTCATTACTAAAAGGCTAAATAACTAGTTGCAGCTCGGGTACATTCTCCCACTGGTTTATCGCACTTCGACTGAGTTCTGCGCGAGAATCAGTCGCGTACGTTTGACGACTACTTTTATAGATACCAAAAGTTTGTCATCAGACTCGGGGTTACCGAATGTTAGGTGGTGACGACATTC